ATTAATATTGTATAATAAGGTAGGCAGACCAGAAGGCAACAACAGTCTGCTTTGTAGTTTTTAAATTTAAATTTGTTAATTTTAAAAATTGCAGGCATGTGCTTGGGGTCAAACTGGTTGGTACAAGTCCTTACGCATGAATATAAATGAAACTATTTTATCAACATTCTGCCTAATAAGCTCACGCTCACTACAAAAATGTAACCGTGGCTCTCTTCATTTGATCCTTTCGAAAGTATTTCTTCTCATCTGCTTTCACCAGCAGTTATTGTGCCCGAAACTTACTTTATAATAATTTGCTAGAATTTATAAATGACGTAGTCAGTCTATAGAAAGCGATTGTTATAGCTGTTATCCAACCGCACTTAGGACCAGGCGAAGCTAGGCTAAGTCTAAGTCATATGTACATATTTATATATAATTGGCGCTTTGTAACTGCTGAAATGATTTTCGTTCAAGCTTCTCCTCCAATTTGTGGTTTTGCCTCTTGATGTTTTTTCTAACAAGATGGAGGGACTTATACAATTCATACTAAGCCCTCTCCGAACGGCTGATGGTCTTTTTTCTAAGGAGCTTTGTTTCATGTCAGAAATACACCCCCGAGGGTTGACATTTTCCCTGCCGAGGGGCGACCGCGATTAGAAAAATTTAGTTTAATTTTTTATTTCAATAAATTTTCTATAACTTTTCCGATGTTGATACGACACCAGGATTTGAACCCGGGCTTTCCGAATGGCTGTACGCAATGCTAACCACTCGGCAACCGCAGCCGCCTCTAAGTCGTAGAGGTCATATAATAGCAGGTCCAGGAAAGGAGCCGTTTCGGCGGGTTCGGACCAGATGTGGTTATTGTCGTGTGGGATCTCATTGCATGCAGAGCATTTGCTATGTCGAGGTAAGGTCTGGCTTACGGCGCAGTTGTTAATGTGCAGCAGAACTCGTTCTGTAAAAGATTTTCTCTTTTTTAGCACAAAAATTCACTTATATAAATTCTGGTTTAGTATCGAACTTTCCGCACTTTCGAATGCCGCTTTAAAATCGACAAAGAAATGGTGTTTTTTTTCACAAGTATCTAGAAGAATATCTGAACAATGGACAATAAAACCATGTTGATGGTGGGCTCTAGTCTTTTAGCCAATACACTCGATATAACCTCGTACACGATAGTAAAGATAGCAGGGCCTGATTATGGGGTCGCTTTTTTGTGAAATCGGCTTAGCATACTTGGATTCCAATCGTTAGAAATGCACTCATCCGACCGAATTTTCCACTTTTTCAGTTCTTCTTCATGCCAGTAATTGTACACTCTTTTAGAAGATTAGACCATGCGGCTGAGATATTGCATTTGCGCCAGCCAAAGTCAAAGAAGTAAAATCCTATTACGTACCTACCTACTCGATGAGATCCTTATCCATTCTGAAGGAACTTCAAAGTTTGATCGGATTTATTTTACACAACCGTATACCAAGTTTTTCAGAAATCAGATTTTTTTGGGCTGACGTAAGCAGCTTTCTTGTAAATTTTTGAAATTAGGCAAAAAAGAAATTAATTTTTGTTTTGCTATAATTTGATCCAAATTTAGAGAGTTCTTAGTGAAACACTTTTAATAATATAATTTTCATTTTTGATCCTCTAGATTCTTATATCAGCAGTATCAATTGCAGCCGGTTATTTATATTTTCTTATGCATACTTACATGCATACGAGTATGTGTGTAGGTCCCGCTAATTAAAGACAGTCGGTTGGTCCTCTATCCCCCTCTTTAACGTTTCAGCTCATTTATTAACTAGTATTATGTACAGTTCGTTAATTTTCCTTATCGCAAAATTTGCAAATGTTGCGCATAAATATGACAGGACATAATTGTGTTCGTACTTTGGGGTCAATTAAATAATATATGTACACGTATGTACATACATATACATTTAAACGGGCATATTTTTATATACAAACATTTTCTGTACGTATTTGATTTTGATAAAATTTATTCAGATTAATTCGAAAAGGATTTAGAAGAATTTTAGCCGGGCAGTGAACCGACCTATTCGGAGAAATCGTATTTATGGTGGGATTCACTTCAAATTTTGGTAGATAAGTAGCGTTTTTAATGAACAGAATTTTTCTTCGGAGACCAAGGAACGACGTATTTATAAAGAAAGTAGACCAAGAACCAAGCTATTCCGAGAAGAACCTATTCATGGTGCGATTTACTTGAAACTCTGTCCTTTCTATCAATTGGATCAGTTACCGATCTACTGTAGATCGGTAACTATTGAATATAATATATTGAAAAAATTATAATTGGTTCGATTTGGTTGAATTTTTATTTGATAATATTATTTTTTAGTTATATATACGTATACATACATATACGAGGCATATCCGGAAATTGAGTGTACTGATTTTTTGTAGGTTTAAAAAATTTTTATATACAATAAACAAAAAAATATCGTCATAATTTAGTATTTTCGACATACGACTAATCTCTATGCAGGTTGTGAATCAGGTATCGATTTTTTACGCCTTTCTCGAAGCCAAGCTAATCTCACGGACAGTTTCCAAATATCCCAGATGTCGATTTTCGTGCCGTAGAAATTTGCGAAAAAATCGCAGAAACTTCATCCACAGTCGATCTGCAATCGTCCCGAAGTGCATTTTCGATTTTTCTTTTTTGTCTTTTTTGTCTTCAGTTATATGGAAGAGGGACTGTGTCGCCGAGAATTCATCCCGGTGCGGATCGTCTCATCGCAATCCACTTTAAAGCTGAATTTCTTACAATTCCACTGACTTTCAGCCACACCCTGATGGAAGAGAAGCACGATATTACCGAGGTCGGCTTCTTCGATAACTTATCTTTGGCGCAACAGACACTAAATTCAGACGCCACGACGAGAACAGTGGTAAAAAAAATGCCTGTAGATCGTCGGCTTGAATACACAAACTACGACGGTAGTAAAGATATTTCAAAACATGACTACGAAACTCGAATAGCTAAGTGAATTTAGCCGAAATCATACCGGCGGCAATGAATTGAACCTAAATCTGAATGTGTTTTGCCTAATACAACAAAACAGCATCAGACTTGGCAAGTTAAGGTTCGATATGGATGAAATCACTCCAGCTTTGAAAGTATTCGATACAGTACACTCTGGTGGCAGCAGAGGAAGAAGAAGACTTCCGTGGAGGAGTGTGACCTGCAGTGCAATTCTGTAACTTTTATCGACACGATTTGTCGGATCGCAAAGTTACGAATTTTGTCGCTTGCGCTAACGATTATGCGATTCTCTAACGCAGTTGTTACGATAATCGACATCGCACATTTCCATTTTATTAAAATGTAGGAAAGGTGGCACCACAGCTCAACGAAACGTCAAAATGTACGAAAAGCACAAAGAGGAATGACAAAAACAAATAAATTTGTTATTGAAATTATTTTAATTAAAAGAATAGCAATGCATTACAAAGTTTTTCAATAGCATGTTATGGTTTGCACTTTCATGCATGACTCTTCGCTCTATAGGGGAGCTCCAAATAAAATAATTGTGCCGCGCTCTTGGGTACTTGGCATTTGCCAGTATAATCTTGCGATAAGGACCATATATCTATGTGAAAATATAATTAACTTTGTTACTACAATAGTAATCGGAAACAAATTTACTCTCACCATTTGCACATTGATGGAGTGGTATCCATGGTGGTTTATATACGCTTCTTCATGGTTTTTAACTCATGTGCAATCGATAGCTCCAATAGTGCCTCCAACATATGGTGACGATGACGAAGCAAAAATTTGGAAAACTAAGAGAAAACCTTGAACGGTTGATTGCGTCTGTTACGCGATGAACACAACGGTTTACTGACGACTGACTCATGGACATGCCCATTGCAAAAAATCGCGAGGCGGGTAGAACCTTTAAACATTATAATAGTGTTAAGACTAAAAAAAATATTGAAAATATATATTATTACCTGTTTCTCCGTAGACAATGCTGTTATTCTTCTTCCTTTTAGTTGGCAATCTAGTTCAGAAACGATTTCTTCAACTAAATCCGGCGAAACTCGGTAGCATCCAAATGAAAAGGATCTTCCGCTTCTCGACGCAAACTTCTATTCAATGATGAAGATTAGGATACCTCGTCATATTGTGATAAAACGTATGCCAAATATTCAAAACCATTTCTTTTATTTTTTTATTTTTATTTTTGTATAACTTTGACAATTTCCCGGACACTTTACTCTCTTAAATGAAATAACAAAATTTTGTCGATATCGCTAACAACTTAAAAATATTTGTCGCTTAGTTGGCGATTTTTCGAGTAGTTTACGACAATAGCGAGAGCGAATATCGTTATAACAAGTACACCGAATATTAAAATCGTTAGAATTATCGCAAAGTCTTCTTTGCGATCCGAAAATCGTTATACTAGTCTTAGAGAATAGCGAATATCGTTAAAAATATCGTTAAGTCTTCTTTGCGATCCGAAAATCGTTATACCATTTTAGAGAATAGCGATTATCGTTAAAAATATCGTTAAGTCTTCTTTGCGATCCGAAAATCGTTATACCATTTTAGAGAATAGCGATTATCGTTAAAAATATCGCTAAGTCTAATTTGCGATCCGAAAATCGTTATACTGTGCTTAGAGAATAGCAAAATCGTTAAAATTATCGTTAAGTCATTATACGATCCGATAATCGTTATAATACGATAGAGAATTGCCCTACTGATTACACTTGGTATTTCCAACTGACGCCAAACAGCGAAGAGAAGGAATGAATGGCGCGCTACTATTGATTCGGTTATACATAATCGGGTAAGCGGTACCAACGCCAATAAAGAAGAAGAAGAAAAAGCGATACCTACACATGTTAGCAATAAAAACATATGTATAATTAGTAAAAAAAATAAATATTCAAAAATTCATATTTAAATAAATAAAGAATAATTTAAAAAATAAAATCGCAATAAAAATATGATTCAGCTTTACATATGTACATACATACATTTATACAATAAATATGCATACATATAAGCATAAACATAAACGTATAATTATTTATAAATTCTCATCTACGCTGCGATAACAAACTAGATGGGGTTAACAGCGGCTCCTCTGTACCCTCCGATGGTGCTGGTGAACGCAATATGCATGTATTGTTTGTATTGTATTTGTATTGACGGCGTGATATCCATGTTACAATAAGAAATATAACAAAACATATGAGTATATAAATGGCGACTGTAGCGAAAACCTGCAATAAGATTATAGCACCAGCCTTTTCATAAAGAAATCAAATTTATTCAAGAAAGAAAGTGTTTCACAGCAATCATACTTACTACCAGTAAACCTTCCAATATACCCTTCAACCAATATGGTATATAATCATTTTCAGTCTTAATGTCTTCTTTTACAATCTCTGAATCATCGTCATCATTTGGATTAATAAATTTCGAATGCATAAAATAGTTGAATTCCTCATCGAGAGCATCGGCAGCTCGTTTCGTACTACCGTGTGGTGTTTGTTGCTTCTTACATTCCTCCTTTTGTTGTTGTGTCTGTGCCTTTGTATCGCATGAGTTATTTTTGGCGTTGATCGGTTGCTGATATGTTAGAAACGTAGATTGTGAAAATTATTGGAGCAATTATTAAAAAAAAAAAATTTTTTAACTAAAACTACTTTGTTGTTATTAATAAAAAGTTTAAAAAAATAATTATGTTCTGACAACCAACTGCCAAGGCCCCGGCGAGATTCGAACTCACGATCTCCTGTTTACTAGACAGGAGCTTTAACCAACTAAGCCACGGCGCCCTTGCTGCGAAATCACTTCAAAGCTTTATAAATATAGAGGAACATTAAACAATATGAATACATTTTTATACCACAGGGTGACCACAGCATATAAGTTTTTAATTTTTGTTTATGTGGTCATTTTGACAAAAAATTTGTTTATACAATTCAGCCGAAGGTAGTTTTATAAGTCAATTAGCAGAAATAACGCAAGTGATTTGACGTATAAATAAAAAAATTATTTAAACAACAAAATTTAATCCCAGCATTTGAAGCAATCATAGATTTATCCATAAAACTTTGATAGAAAATTATTCCAATTTGAAATAAAATCGGCAACCAGCATATTTTCCAAAAAAAAACCCCTTCATCCTTTCATTTTACTTAAATTGAACTTGTTGAATAAATTAAAATTGCGCTAGATTCGGTTTCTTGAACTTATAAATCAAACAGATAGAAATTTATTATCATACAAACGGTTTTGTTGGAAATTTCATGTGAACAAATTTGGTTGAACATTTTTAACGTAAAACAAAAAAAATCGATTTTTTCTTTTTGTTTTCTATAGAAATTTCTATACGAATTTTTCATGTAAAACTCCCAATAAAACCGATATTTCTTTTTCAGTGATATTAGCAAAAAAAGGCACAGCAGTAATTTAGTTTTGGAAGTGAATTTTAGTAAATTCGAAGCAACGAATTAAACTTTGATAACTGAAAAATGCTTTCAGCAATTCCAGCAAGAGCTTTCTTTACGATATTAAAATCACTTATACAGCTTTACGTGAATTACATTGTTCATCCTCTCAATTACGAACGCTCATTACCCCATTCACACGGCATGCAATTCGACAGATTTCTGTTCGGCTGGTCAACTACTTGTGTTCCATTTGAAAACGCAGGGAAAAAGAAATGAAAGTTTGTTTATAAAAGTTCATTAAATTAAATTGGTGAAGTTTGTGGTTATCGATTTTACTTCTAACCATTTAAAAATGCTAGCATGAAGAATCCGGCAAGCAAGCGACTCTACTAGGTGGTAGAGAACTACAATTTTGGCTTGCGGTACATATCAATATATATTCAATAATCAGATTACTTTCGACGTAATTCACTTAAGTAATTCGCCAAGTATTTGGAGTGCGAATTACAATTGAGAAAGTCTACAACGTAATTGGGGTGCTGTGGAAATGCCGTTTTACGGATATAACAGTAATTTAAATTAAGCGTACTGATAAAAAGTGTAGTGATCTCCTGTAAAGCTGGCGTCATGGAACTTAGAGAAATCTTCTACATTGCCAAAATGTTGTCTGAAACATATAAACTCATTTACCTCTGCTTTTCCAAACTCTTCTTGTTCACATTCATCTACGAAATCGCCGCGTCGTATCTTTTTCATATCTTCAGCAGTAAAAAAGTTGTTAACATCCAAGCAATCGTTATAATAAAAATCGTATCGCTTAAAAATTGTAATAGTAATGTGTTGGTATTTACATATATTCTTACAGGATTATATAGATTTCTTAATACCATATTTGGTTTGTCACAGCGAGGTACCTTTTCGCAATGTTCTGTGGTCTTATTATAAAAATTACGTTGACCAAAATAACGTTCTGCACAATTTACGGGAGTGCAGTTTTTTAGGTACTCCTTATCCCAATTATTACAATCTCTATAATCAGGCCCTAGAATCTTTAAATTTTTAATATAATTCAATATGGAACTAAAACAAGTTTTACTTACTTTTTCTCAGTGTACGACCGTCGGGATCAAGTGTTGTAAAGCGTGTGTCAAAATGTATGGAAAGTTTCTGACGTTTCTCTTTACCTCGAGCATTTTTGGATGAAACAATAATAGGGCAGGATCCAACTCGATTAAATAAAGACTTGTTATATTGAAATGAAAAAAAAAAATTTATTGCATCATGTATGTATGTATGTACATGTATGTAATTCTTTTTGAATTTGTGTACTTAAACTCGTTATTTACAAACTTACCACTGTTGGCCAAATCAGAGAAACTACATCAATTGCTCCTGATTCAATAAAACCAAAGTTCCCTCCTACTACACGACCAACCTGTAATAGAGAAATAAATAATTTCCAAAGGCTCAATTTAATCATGTTTTATTTAAAAAAATACAATTACATTTTTCATGGTTTCTTTTTCTGTTACATTTACATTGCATGTGCCATCAGAACGTATTCGAAATTCCAAGGTTTCTTTATCTGTACATGGTGAATTCGTAACAGTCAAATCTTAATAAAGACAATTTTAAAAGTTACAGTTATTTTGATCATTTTTTTCTACAAATTAAAATCGAATCTTACCAAATATTAAACCAATGTCGTTCAGCTTAGGTATTCGTACAACTATTTTGTTAATAGTGATGGTCGTAAGGACTTTACTTGTAGAGCAAAATATTAGAAACAACATGTAAAACACATTCATCATATTTTTCAGCTGAATTTACATACATAAAATTATTAGAAAGTTTGACGCATATATTGGAAATATAAAAAATTGTATATATTTTTTATTAAATAATTGGCGATGTAACCGCGGTTTTTCGGCCGAGCTCCCTCCTCCAATTTGTGGTTTTACATCTTGATGTTTTTCCAACAAATGAAGGGACCTACTACAGTTTATACCAAGCCACCTCCGAACGGCTGATAGATGAGGAGCCTTTATTTCATGTCCGAAATATACTCGAAAGGATGAACATTCTCTGCCGAGGGCCGACCGCAATTAGAAAATTTAACTTGTATTTTTTTTTAAATTAATTTTACATAACTTCTGGATGTTGCTGGTACCGGAATATGAAACCGGACCTTCTGAATGTCAGTATGCAACGCTAACCACTCGACTACCGCGGCATAATTATTAAACTAGAAGATTAAGGGGCACACCTAGTGTGATGGCCTAAAAAATAGGTTTTATCAATTATTTCAAAATTTTAAGAATATATTTGTACATGTTTCAAGAATATACAGTGATATTTTTGAAGAAAAAAATTAAATATTTTTAGTTTTAAGTTATTGTCGATCTCCAACGGCGGGGAAAAAATGTCCCTCACCGCTGCAGTGATTCCGGCCTACTCCGTGGATGAAATCTAAAAAAAAAAAATCTCTACTAGATAATATTATCTGTACAATGACCTACGATAAAAAATATCAAAAATTGACAATATGGCGGCATTTAAAAAAAAATAGTCGAATTTTACCCAATATTTTGGTCGTTTTTGGCCTGCCAAAATCCGATATTTTGATCAAGTCAAAAATCGCTAGGTCATTGTACGGAGAACTATATATAAAACATATAAAAAAAAATTGATAGTGATCGGATCATTCGTTTTTGAGTAATCACTGCGGCAAATTCGGAAAATACTGTTTCGAGAAAAACGTGTTTAAAGATAAAAGGATCGTTTTCACTCGTAGCTATTGAGACTTTCTAGCTGCCGATCGGCTGCTCTTTAAATTGCTATAACTCAAAAACTATTTTTTAAAGGTGTAATCTCCGGAAATATGAAAAAAATAAATGTATTCGCCTTGAATGTATACCTTGGAAAATAAATATTTTGAATCGTTCATAATGTTGGTGCCATACTTTTTCCACGAAAACTGTTTAAAATATTTAGATAGTACGTTCATGGTTGTATAACAAAGTATTATTTGATTGGCGCATATCTGTTGACTCACAGAAACTCAACATATGATTCTATTTTGCAGTTTTTTTGGTGCAACCCTTAAAACCGTCATATGTTTTGTTGTTGTTTTTAGCAAAGGTTTTTGATTTATTGCAAATATTATTATTTCATGTATTTCTATAAAATAGAACATAACAAAAATTAATAAATATGGAAACAGATGAGGAACTTGCGTTTAGAGATTTTAACTCACTTAAACGTTACAAATTCAATGATGAGAGGACATCAACAACAACGTCACGCGAACAAGTGAGTTGCAATCGTAATAATAATTCAAACTAATTTGATATATTTATTTATGACAAACTGAATAGCAAAAGACGGAGAATTCCATCGAAAAATGTTATAATCGTTTTCAACAAATGCAGTACCTGGACGTAAAGGTTAAAAAAATTCACCGAGAAGAACATCAACGCTATCTAGAGACAATGCTGCGCAGGTTACCATCACATTATGAATGTCTGGATAGCAGTAGACCATGGAATGTGTATTGGATATTACAAGCGGCACATTTGCTGAACTTCACTTTCGATGAAGAGACATTGGAGGATGTTGTACAATTCCTAATCAAGTACCTATCTATATTGCCGATGACAACAATTTCACAAAATTTTATCATTTCATTTATTGCTTTTGCAGATGTCGCCATCCAAATGGTGGGTTTGCAGGAGGTCCTGGACAATATCCTCATTTAGCACCAACGTATGCCGCCGTAAATTGTTTGTGCATAATTGGTACACCGAGTGCATATCGTGCCATCGACCGTGAATCATTAATAAAGTTTTTGTTTTCCGTGCGTGAAACCGATGGTTCATTTCGCCTGCACGTGGATGGCGAGACTGACGTACGTGGTGCATATTGTGCTATATCTTGTGCAAAACTAACAAACATGCCTGATGAAGTACTGAAGAAGTTATTTGATAAGACGGGCGATTGGATTTCCAGTTGTCAAACATATGAAGGCGGCTTCGGTGGTGCGCCGGATCTTGAAGCTCATGGGGGATATACGTTTTGTGGTATTGCAGCACTTGCTTTGCTAGACGAAGGTTATAAGTGCGACACCCAACAATTACTGGTAAATATTGTAATAAAGCTTACTTAATGAAGGTCTTTAATTTTTAAATGCTTAAAAAAAGTTCGAAAAAAAATATATATCTGAGTTTAATAAATTTATTCATTAATATTATATTATGAAATATTTAAAAAATATATAAGAGAACCTATATATTTTTAATGTAGAAATGGAATCTACAACGTCAAATGCCATTTGAAGGTGGATTTCAGGGGCGTACCAATAAACTTGTGGATGGCTGCTATTCATTTTGGGTCGGCGCAACAATACCTATTACTCAAGCCATTATCCAAGAAGGTATATTTATATCTTATAAAATTTTATAGCTAAAAAGATTTTTTTGTGTTTTTATATTAAGGCGAATCCTTAAAGGAGTCTCTATTCGATACCGGTGCTTTACAGGAATATATTTTGCTTTGTTGCCAAAAAGCAAACGGTGGATTAATTGATAAGCCGGGCAAGTAAGATTGATCACAAAATATATTAATAGAATATATGCATGATTATAATTAATTTTGTAATCAATTCAGGCCTCAAGATCTCTATCATACCTGCTACACCTTAAGTGGCGTTTCGATAGCTCAACATTCGAGTTTTTCCTTTAATCCCCAAGTCCTAGGCGATCCGGTAAACGAGCTTCTGCCAACGCATCCACTTTTTAACGTACCGCCTCGTGCAGTTGCTTTATCATTAGGCCACTTTGAGCAACTAAATCAAAATTACAAAGATAGCAAAATACCGCTAAATACTCAGCAAAATTCGGCGCCGAACTGTGGCAAAAACAGCAACGATTGTGAAAAATCATCTACCGAATGCTGCATGGAAACAGATAATGGCATAAATAATGCTGAGGATGATGAGGAAGCGAGAGTTTCCTCTGTTAGTTCGTCAATATCGAATTGATAAAAATACAATTGTTTTGTGATTGTATTTAAGAACTTATGCAAAAAATTTATAGATATATGTATGTATATATTGACGAATTATTTTTCTCCGGGGAATGGAGAACGTATGTAAATGTGAATTCTAGCAACAAATTTTTTTAAAGCGTGTGAATTTACATACATATGTACGTATGTAATTATGTATGGATGTAAATTTGAAAGCAGAAAAGCCGCCCTATTTATTATTGGGACAATCCCATGATTTACTTACGCTCGCTCAACACAAATATAATCCTTTAAAATATTTTACAATATGGGTGTTAATTTTCTTTATTCGTATATTTTTTTTCTTTTGTACTTCGATATTTCTAAAAATAAATGTCAAGTGTCTTCAAAAGAAGGTTTGTTGAAGTATGCTGTTCTAATTTTTCTTTTATATGCGGTTGTACATACATACATACATATGTGTATATCATAAGACATTTTAACTTAGCTTCAAAAAAAGGTAATTAAGAGCAGCATAATATAGAAAAATTGCCTTGGGACCCATTACATGACAATACAGATGCTAGTATACTATCGGAGTCGTGGGTATTTCCACTTAATTGGCACAGGCTATGCCTAGAAATTCAATTTCGCGAAAAAGGATCCCTATTACCCAATTCCAAATCTGCTTTTCTGTGGACAATTCTGTAAAAGTCACAACAAAATGAACGGAGGCGGCTCCAAATTAAGTATTAGTTAAGATGAATGCTACGCCGAAAAATTAATCCTCATAATCAAGTGGAAGTTCTTGTCAAATTAAAACTTATTTATAACAGATTATAAATTATATATAGCGTTCGGAAGTTCTGAATCAGTCAAAACCACTGGCATGGGCTAAGGTTACAGTCATAGCCATCAATAATAACATTATTTTAGGAACAAAATAAAAAGTGGGTACAATTTTTTTTTCGTAAACTTTTTTTCGAAAAATTTTTCAATGAAATTACAATTTTATTGTAGTAAATTAGAATCCATCTACCCAAAAACATACCAATGAGCAAACATTTTTATCTGGCAACCTTGTATTGACACATTTTAGCAGCCTTTCGCGCGCCGTTTACAATTTTATCTTACTTTACGCTTGTTACAATCGTTTGGTTTTGTTTAGTAAAATTGATATTAATAAAAGCCTTTGCTAACATACTATATCTCAAAACTTTTAAAATCTTACTTGGTGTGCACATTTAAGCATCTTCGACAATGGGACTATTAGATTTATGTGAACAATACTTTGGCGAACGGGATATTTACAAGCTATTGGATTTGGAAAAGACAGCTCTACCCAAGGATATAAAGAAGGCATATTATAAATTGTCGCTACAAGTCCATCCAGATAGAGTCAAGGACGCCGACAAAGCCAACGCCACAGAAAAGTTTAAAGTGTTGTCGAAAATATATCAAGTACTGTCCGACAAAGATAAACGCGCTTTATACGATGAGCAAGGAGTTATTGACGATGAGGAAGATATGGAAGGCAAGCTCAGTTCATGGTTAGACCTTTGGAGAAAAATGTTTAAGCGAATTACTGATGAAGATATTACAAATTACCAAAAGTCTTACATTGGTTCTGAGTTGGAGCGAAACGATATGAAAAAGGCTTATTTGTCTAGTAAGGGCTGCATTAATCAAATGATGAACGAGGTGCCATTCCTGAACGTAGACGATGAGCCGCGTTTACAGAAGATAATACGTGAAATGATTGACGCCGGTGAAGTACCTGAATATAAAATATTTACGAACGAACCAGCTAATAAACGTCAACGCCGTCATAAGAAATATGCTCGAGAATCGAAGGAAGCAGAGGAGATTAAACAAAAAATGCAGAATGAAAGCAGTTTGGAAAAACAAATTATGGAGCGTAATAAGTCACGCGAAGATGGTTTCAACTCTCTCATGGACAAGTTGATGGAAAAATATGGAGGAGAAGACGATTCGGAAGTATTTGAAATACGTGGAAAGAAATCCAAATCTAAGAAGAAAGCAAATGGCACTCCAGTGAAAGTGAATGGAGTAAAAAATGGTAGGGTCAACAAAAAACGCAACTAATGTTGGGGTTACAAATAATTTTCGTATATTTATATTTTATGCGGGGGTCAAAATGAATTTACATTGAATGCCAAGACTGTATCGAGCATAATTAAAACTGTGTAATTTAAAAAATTTTCGTCATTAAAAATTTAATAAATAAAATAGTAAAGATTGCGTAAGGACAAAGCAATAAAAAAATACTTATTTTTATATTATCCATTCTATGAGTCCATACATTTATACACGTTAATTGGCAAAATAACTTGGGAGGTTTCGAAAAGAAAAAAATTGGTTCGTATAGACATTTTTTGAATTCATACATGACGACTAAAGGTCTTTTTAAATAGCGTGAACAGTTTTGCTTCAATTATGCTGTTAAGGGCATTTGAAGGAAATGCCGATGTTGGCTCTGCTGAGATGAAAAAAATGAAGATATTTTTACGCTCTTAATTATTGGTTGTTATTCACACATAATTTTTAAAGAAGCTAGATTTTTAATAAAAAAAATTGTATTTATTCTTGTAAGTGGTTAAAAAAAAATTTCTTACCTTTTCAGCGAACCAAACTAAATTATGTGTACAATTTTCCGAAATTTTTTTCTTATACATTTTTGAAAATTTTTCTCCCTTTGTTTATAAATTTAGTAAAGCGGCTCTGAAAAAATTTCAAAATGCGATATTCATGGTAATAGACTTTTTAAAATAATGGAAGTGATTCAATTTATGCTTTTGGTGGAGCATGGGCTATTGGCAACCACATCAGCTGTTTTGATATTTTAAATAAAAGAAACTCTACTTCTACGCTTTTAACAATAATAAACAATATAAGTTTAAACAAAAAATTAGAATCATTCCAAAATGGAGCATAAGATTATACTAAAATGTCGAACTTGTTTGGAAGACAATGAAGAGGGGAATATGTTTGAGTTATTTACCGAAAACGAAATAGGCACAAGCAGGCCGCTAAAAAAATTCAGGCTTAACACGAAAATTGAATATTGCTGCGGTGTACGAGTAAGTTGTGTTGTACGTAAACATGTAGAATATGAAAGGTTTATTTTATCTTTTAGATACGAGAATCATCGGATATGCCATCTAAGATTTGTTGGAAATGTTTTGAAACGATTAGAATGTGGTATAATTTTCAGCAAATGTGTTTTAATTCACAGCTCTACTTAGAAAGCCTATGTGAAGATAGGATGCGGCCGGAAGGCACAGATGATGCAGAATATTTAGAGTATCTTATGGAAGAGTTACAAGTGCAACGTGATAAGATAAATAGCGCTACAGATATTGTTGAATCCGATACTGACCTCGATGATGCGGATGGTTTGGATTTAATATTAAATGAAGATGTTGATGATGAATATATCGAATCAGAAAATGATTTAGACCGAAGCATAAAAGAAGAGCGGCAACACACAGAAGCTAAAAATGTTGATCAAGCAGAAAAAAATGTTCAAGAAAAACTACTTGCAGACACAGAAAATACAAATACAATAATCAGTGGAGGATCACAAAATCGGCCAAGCTCAACAAAAGTATGTAAAAAAAGAAATACTATCGAAAGACGTATGTATCGTCCACCCAGTCCAACATCTTACATGTGCTATGTTTGTGGGAATGTATATAATAAGAAGGCTACATTTGCTTATCATATGTCGCAACACAACAACATTAAACCACACGAGTGCGAGTAAGTACATAAATTCATAGTTGTTACAATGTTTGATAAAAATTAAACTTTAGGCTCTGTGGCAAGTCATTCCGCCAAATATGTGAATTGAAAAATCATATGCGACGTCACACTGGAGAAAAGCCTTACAAGTGCTCATACTGCGATCGGCATTTTATAGATCGTAGCGAAAAACATCGACATGAGCGGTAATTAAATCAGATAAATATAGTATAAAATTAATCAAAGCATTTTTTACAGTGTTCATACAAATACACGACCATATGTGTGTAGCGTTTGCGGTAAAAGCTTTATGTATTCTGCTATACTAAAGAACCACTCAAAACTGCACTCCGGTAAAAAAGATTTCAAGTAAGTGTAATGATTTACGTGTGTGCACGCAACACCGGTGTCAAAAATATAAATTTTCTTATGTGTATTTTAAGTTGTATGGTTTGTCAGAAAGCATTCACTCTTCAGCATCAGTTGAAGGCACATTTACAAACTATAACTCATAAACAAAAGGAAGCGCATTATGTATCTGTTGGCTATGAAGTCATTTATGAATGAATTACTACGAATATCTTCACATTCTACCACAATTTGATTCTTGTTATTTTTAAAATCCAAGTTATAAAGTAAAACTATTGTTAAATATTTTGTATGACTTGAATGTAATAATATCGATCTTTACACTTGACAGACTTGCGTTGGAAATAAACGCTAAAACTATCATTTATGATTGACATAAAATAAAAACAAATCTGAGTTAAAGTATATTTGTTTTGTATCGAAATAACTTTATTTATATATTATTTCCTATCTCATTTGCTTCTAAAATATTCTTATGTTGGTTGGTAAGCAGATGAGACTTTAGTTGGTGTGGCAGTTTGAATGATTTGTCGCACGGTTCGCATCTAAAAGTAAATAAATGAAAAATGTTGAAAAAAATCTTTATTTATAATTATTTTTATTGGTACTCACTTAAAAGGTTTTTCATTTGTGTGGACCTTTTCGTGCGTACGTAGCGTAGTGGACAAGGCAAATGCTTTACCGCAGGTACTACATGGGAAAGGTTTTTCATTTGTATGCACACTACAAAAGATTGATGGTTCTTTTAAGATTAACACAATAAAAATATTTTAATAACACTAACCGTTCATGCTTCACATGCGTACTGCGGTCAGTAAATCTTCGTAAACAATATTTACATTGGTAAGGTTTCTCCCCTGTGTGAATGCGCATATGCGCTGTTAGATTACATGCTGCCGTAAAACGTTTAAAGCATAGTCTACAAATTAGAAAGGTTAAAATCATATATTTTCTTCCTTTTCTTATAACTTACTCGCATTCGAAATTTTTTTCTTTTCGATGTATCCTCATGTGATAATTTCTAAGACTTCGGCTAGTAAAATGATTACCGCAAACATCACAAGAATACATGTAAGAATCACTGGATTTCTTACGAGGTGTAGCACGACCCTTAATCCTTATAGTTGTGGAACTAGGCCGCTGATCTTCTAGTAATACTAGTTCATGACGAGAAGCAGGTTCGATATCATTGTCATCTATCAGGTACTCTTCTATCGGTGCTACGGATATGGGTGTATCGCAGTTATCATACGCAGTTTCTTCTGTTTCGGTTAAATCATCTATTAGATTCATGGTAGATTCATCATGAGCATCATCTTCTGGATCCGGCTCGACCTGTTGAAGTTGATTGTTTGGTGATTCATCTGTTTTAATATCGGGTTCATCTATTAAATAATATAACTCTTCATCTGCCTCTGGTTCCGTTTCCACTCTAGGAGAAGGCAAGCGCAGGGCCGTCTTCATCTCTTCTGTATTATTTTTTAATAATGGATCTCTACCAAGGTTTTCACTAGCTGAACTGTTTTCATTTTGAATTTCGATCATGCCTTGACTATCGGGCTTAGTTTCCTCAAAACCATAAACAACTATCTTGCGTTCAGATTCTATCGTAGAATTCCGGATATCTCTACCAAAGTCGATAAATTTATTTTCCTCATAATCCTCATCTAAATATTCGTTATCTGAACATTTTTCATCTTTTCTTATCTGAATGTATTTGCCTTTTGATATATAATTCACTTGTTTATTTTCATAAAACTCTTCCATTTGATTTTCTTCATCCTCACCCTTCTGGTTCAAGCTTTCCTTTTCAGCTTGGATTTTGCCAGAAATTGTACTTGTAGTAGGACCCGAAGAATTTCCAATTTTCTTTTCCTTATCCATAGTAATCATATAGTTTATGGACTCACCCAAGGAATCTTTTTTATGATCTTGTTTTTTTAAAACTTTAATTGTATCGTTTTGCACAAAACTGGTATTATTAAAATCACTATCTCCTATTGTCTCTGGAGGTGTTATGGTTAATTGTTTGCGCTTTTTGTTGAATGGTACTTCTACATTTGAATCGCATTGTTCGTCATATATATCATTTGGACAAATGTACTCTTCATCTGCATTAAAACTTTCTTCAAGTAGATCCACTGAACGATGCCTTTGTTTTTCCATTTTCAACATAGACGTTGCAGATTTTGTCTTTTGAATAATGGATTGTAAATATTCATCAGAGTTGCGGCATGTAGTCCGAAAATGGCATGAATATTTTAGCAATAGCAAGCATTTACGGCAAATCTTATCTGGTAAGTTGTCGCTTCTTTCCATCTGAAAACAAAGAGTTAATAATATGAAACTATACCTATCAGATTCTCCACTAAAAACCTGTATGCCTGCGATATCATTAATTTGTTTCGCCGTTTTGGAGTCAATTATAATATATTTTGCACCATGATTTTGTCCTTCTTCTGCCAAACAAATTCGGCAAATATTCCACTTTATACTAATTTCCATCCCTGGTATCAAAATTTGTCTTCCTTTTTAACAATATCTAGTGTTTCTTATGTATTTAAATTATAATTTCACTCAAACAATAATTTTGTTTATATATTAGTATGAAGGAAAATTTCACAGACCGAATAGCAAAATAAATAGACCCATAAAATTGACAAAACCCATCAACAGAGAACGTATAACATAGAGAAGGTGCAAAGCCAGCGTTTCTGACATTTCAGGCAGAAAAATTTCGTTTCATGTAATCGTCATTTCCTTTTCGTCTTGATATTTTACTTTACCCCTTCCTTGAGGTGAATGTGAAATGTTAAACTTAACAGAGCTGAGAGCAAAAATTATTTTACAGACAGTCAATTTGTGCAACAATGTTATTTTGCAGGTGCCTTGTTTTGGTCATATTTGTTTACATTTTTGTATTTGAATTTGACCTATTTCTAATAGAACTACAATTAAAGGCGCCAAATATGACAGCCCAAAAAGGAGAAGTCAACGGACTAACGGTAAATCCAATTTCGATAGAAATTTTAAAGGCGAAGTTTAGAAATTTTGCGAGCTAACTAATAAAGCATATATATCTGTTTTTATCAAAACTAAAAATATGTCAAACATTAGAAAGTGTCGTGCACCCGGTTGTGATAATAATAATCGTGAAATAAGTGTGTTTTCTTTTCCCCAGGATATCCAGCTGCGGCAAAAATGGAAGGAAAATCTGGGATTGGATCCTGCGGTAGAGCTGCCCCAATTCAACTGCTATCTGTGCTTGGAGCACTTTGAAAAAAGTGCTGTTGGAGTGGGCGGCCGGTTGAGAAGTGGTGCGGTGCCCACCCTCAAAATCGGTAAGTAAATACATACATATAAATATATATTTACATGCATATGTGTATGTAGATATTCGAGCATATTCGTACGCACAAATTTATACACACATTAGGGTGGCTCTTTTTAAACGTGCACTAGTAAAATGCATGTACAATTAGTGTATTATATAAATATATTGATAATTTATTTGAGGTAGTAAATAGTTATATTAATTTTATTCAGGATCCTCATCGGCTCCACCTCATCCTTGGGCAACAGGAAAGAAAGCTCGGACCTGTTGCGTTCCTGATTGTACGGACGGCCGAAGAAGGATTTTTTACGAATTTCCTAAAGATGTTGATGTTAGGAATAGTTGGGCTCAAGCCTGCAAAATAAAGATTTCACGCACTGAGAGAGTGTTCATTTGTAAACGCCACTTTAGTACAGAATTCATTAAAGGGGCTAGACTAGTAGACGGGGCCATTCCTTGTTTTTATTTGAATTCAACATCTAGGAGTCGTTCTCCTAGTGTCGATTTCAAAACTGATCAGCCTCCAGTAACTAAAAGTTACCCAGATCAATTGATAGGTGGGGATTTAACTCTTGAAGAGTTTGATAATTATTCCAAATTAGATGAAATTTTGAGGGGAAGTAATGCTCGTAATGAGGAAATCGAGATGGGATTCGAATCCACATTTAATAGGGAACGATATGCTAAGGCAGCTAGGTATTACCAAAGTAATCAACTAAAGTTAAGTAGAAAAATTAAAGAGCTAGAAAAGGAAATAGAAAATTTGAAAATTATAAATTTAAATTTGAAGAATAATTCTATTATTGTAGAAGAATCAGCTAGCAAAGATGCTGTAACTTTTGCTAGACTGATTGTAAGTAAGAGGGCCTTCTACAGCGAGGAAGAAAAGACATTGGCTCAAAATATTAGCTATATGTCTTCAAAAGCTTATAGCTTTATGCGTGAAGAGTTAGGGTTTTTTTTGCCACACAAGAGTTCGCTCTTGCGGTGGCGGCCAATTAGGTATGTAGAGCCAGGGTTTGATGCCAATGTCTTGTCCAATTTAGGGAACATAGTCCAGAATATGTCTGCAACAGAGAGGATATGTATGTTGCTTTGTGATGAGATTCAAATAAAGGCAGACTTAGTATATAATAGCAGGAGGGATTTAATAGATGGATACGTAGATTTTGGAGATGGCCTTAGGGAGAAATATATTGGAGCAAAGTGTTGTTTTTTTATGGTTAAGGGAATTTGCTCCAATTGGAAGTATATTTTTTCATATTTTATTTCTACTAATAGTGGAGTAGGTTCAGATAGGCTTTTATCATTGCTAGATAAAAATATAACAAATTTAAAGAAAATAGGACTTAATGTTAAGGCATTTGTTTGTGACCAGGGCCCTTTCAACATTAGCGTATTCAAAAAGTTAAATATTTCGGAGAGTAAGCCATATTTCTCCCACCACGATACAAACATATA